ATTTGCTTTCTTCTTTCCCTAAAAACGCTTCCTGGATACTTGTATCATTTCATTTCCTGACAGCAATTCATGTATATTTGCTTTCTTCTTTCCCTAAAAACGCTTCCTGGATACTTGTATCATTTCATTTCCTGACAGCAATTCATGTATATTTGCTTTCTTCTTTCCCTAACAACGCTTCCTGGATGCTTTTATCATTTCATTTCCTGACAACAATTCATGAATATTTGCTTTCTTCTTTCCCTAAAAACGCTTCCTGGATACTTGTATCATTTCATTTCCTGACAGCAATTCATGAATATTTGCTTTCTTCTTTCCCTAACAACACTTCCTGGATACTTGTATCATTTCATTTCCTGATAACTTTTCTTGCTTTCTGAATATGTTCATTTCTTCTTTCCCTATCAACGTTTTCTAAAACGCATTTGAATTTCTTTGTTCTCTAACAACGCTTCTTGGATGCATGCATATATTATTTCCATGACAATGCTTCTATCTGGATTGTAATTAAATTCTGTAGCGGAAAGAAATGCATACCGAGCCGAGCACTGTGTTTCTACACGGGTTGACACCGGTGATAATGAGCGGATCCTTGCGTCTCCAGAAATAAGATTTCGGTAGTCTTCTCTGAAATTCTATGATGGAATTTTACGCTGATTTTACCTTGACGACATTTCACAACGATAATCAGAATTCAAGAAGTAAAACTGTTTTATATGATTAATTGTCTTCGTAGTTAATTATAAAGATGCGAGATGCAAGTATTCTATTACTGCTCACTAAATAGTCGCTTTCGAATATATAATTTCTCGTGACATTTTTCTCTACAAGAACCATAGAATATTTGATTTTAGTGGAAACTTTTAAATGATTATAGTGAACCAGTAAATAGCTGAGCTGGTGTATAATATCACCATACGTCACTACAATCATAGTGGTTGAAGTAATCGAAGGAATTTTGATTGTTGTATAATTTTTAATATGTCACATTTGTTCGTTTCGATTGTATGCTTCAGAATTTCATGCAAAGCTACAAAAGGGGCTATCTGTGCATAACCGCCCCTAATTTTGAACCGACAAGAAAGGAAGACACCAAGAACCAATCCCTGGGCTATACTCTTACCAAGTATTGCGAATAGACCGTTTAACAGTGCACCCACAGCCCAAAAGACTAGTGTGAATATTGTATTTTCATTTCTTTTTGCAAGAATGTTAACCACCGGCCCACAATCATTCCCCGATGGGACAGCGGTTACTCTATGGACTTACAACGCGGGTGGACACAGCAGGTAGCCCAATGTGGCTTTACTCTAAAATCACCGCCTAAACCACAACCTGCCTATCACACTTGCTCAATAAATAAATCCGCAAATATGTACGCCACATTTTTTTGGCATCTCTCTATATTCCTCTCTCGAAACTCTAGAGGCACAGAGAAATATTATATACAACAAGTGCAAGTTACAGTGTTGACAGAGTCTTCAGTTAACAGTTTTCAATAAGTGCTATTTTGAAAGTAAACGTTTCAGGAATTTTCTAACTTTTGTATAGAAAGCTCTAGATCATTAAATTCTCTATTGTACATTTTCCTCATGTGTATTATTGTGAGATCTCCTTTATTTAAAAACACTCTTTTACACAAGCACTTTTCTCATACGTTCTTGTTGGTGATCCAGTCACTTTGCGCTTCTATTTCACCATTTTCTTGATTCACTCTTATAGAGGATCGTGTATTGCTTGATGTTCGTATTTATGCAATTCCCGATTTATCCTTTCAGAATTTTCTCAGCTTTATTTAGATACTCGTATTTAAACATTTCCTGACACATTCTTATATTAGCACTTACGTTGTTGAAACCTGCTGGATTTTCCTTCTAAACTATTGTGATACTACCTACGTTATTAAGCACTGTTATGTCAGCAATTCACTACTAGACTACTGTAGCGCTACCTACATTATTAAGCACTGTTATTTCATCAATACATTACTAGGCCATTGTAGTATTGCCTGCATTATTAAACACTGTTATATCAGCAATTCACTACTAGACCATTGTAGCACTACCTACGTTATTAAACACTGTTATTTCAGGAATTCACTACGAGACTACTGTAGCGCTACCTACATTATTAAACACTGTTATTTCAGCAATTCACAATGGACTATTGTAGCGCTACATACGTTGTTAAACGCTGTTATTTCAGCATTTTCATGCTCGGTTATTGTAAAGATACCTACGTTATTTTGTTCTGACGTTTATGTATTTTTGAATTATGGCTTTTAAACTGGAAACTGCTAGTTTTGCTTATTTGTAACCAATATATCAATCCTGTTCCGACAAGAAATTTCACTAAAACGCTCAGCTACATCTTTAAAATAGCGGTAGAAACATAATGCATTAACCTTATTCCAATAGATATTTTGCTCAAAAGTATTCAGTAGGCCGAGTTACAGTGAAATGAGCGCAACTAACACAAACGTATTACACAGCTTCTTGAGTCTAACTTTTAACATTCCTGTGACTCTGCATGTAACTGTTAACATACCAATGACTCTGGGTGTAATTATTAACATTCTAGTGAGTATAGATGTAATTATTAACATACCAATGGCTATGAATGTAACTGTCAGCATACCAGCGAATATGGATGTAATTGTTAACATACTACTGACTCTGGATGTAGTTGCTAACATTCCAGTGACTCTGAAAAAAAGTGTAATAATGCTTAAGAGTAGTCATCAAATCTAAATCTATGTTTGTTTTTGTTTTTGAATTTCGCGCAAAGCTACACGAGGGCTATCTGCGCTAGCCGTCCCTAATTTAGCAGTGTAAGACTAGAGGGAAGGCAGCTAGTCATCATCACCCACCGCCAACTCTTGGGCTACTCTTTTACTAACCTAAATCTATGTGAATTACATGTTATCTTAAAACATTAAAATAACTCTGTATGATTCGTTTGTTTTTTACCCGTTTTTATTTCACATTCTAATGGATTCGTATCAAATAATTTATGAAGTAATAAAAAGTTTTATAGTGTGTTATATGTAAAGTAATGATTTCAACTAGATTGATGTAACGTCTTCAAAACTTCAAACGTATGTAAGGAAATGTGTTTTGGATATTAACAATAACTGTGTATAAAGTTTTAATTCTGACTCTAGACTTTGAAGAACATTACCTATCATTTTATCAAATGGCTATTCATGTTCACCCCTTTGACAATAAATGACCTTGAAAAAGTATCTTCTCAAAAATTAATGTTTGAGTTTCTGCTCGTGACAGTGACGGAGATTAATGATGCTAGAAGCAGTTCTACAGTCCACGTGCTAGAATTCAGACGTCTCCCTGGATAATACATGAAATCGGTAAAAAGACGGTGTCTGCAGCTCTTCAGGCCTCGTGCAGACAGAGAAACAAGATTTTTAGGGATATTTATGTATTCGATTGCTTCTCTTGAGGAAGACTGCTGATTTACTGATAATCGACCGACCATTGAATAATTTTCATTCTCGAAGATCACGATCGTTTGAGTTCCAAAGAACTGTTCCTCAATCAATATTCTGCATCGATTCAACGGCATGTTTTATCGTTTCTTGGTTACGAACAGATCTAGTCTGCTCCTATTTATAGTTATCAAGGAGATATAGACTAAATAGGACCCTTACTCATGAGTCATAAGCTAGAAAGGAGGCAATTTAATACACGTGGTTTGAAAATTATGAGGTAGTACCTAAGTGTTATTGGGTAGTAGAAGGAATTATGTAAGGTTGTTACATTGGCAGTAGGAAATAAGCTTCACCTAGAATTACATACTAGACTAGATAATAACGTATTCGAAGCACATTAGGCCTAGCTCCGCAGAGAAGAGTAAGCTAAAAATCTTAACACCTTTATGACGTCACCTTGATTCGACGCTCTTTCCACGTTCTAGTATCTAAAACGGAAATAAACAGTTTGAACACTAAGATGCGAATTTAAATTGACACACCGAAAATGATACAATATGGAAGACAGGCTGCAACAGGATTCCACAGACTTCTTTTATTTTATTGTTCCTTTATGTATTTGAACACTAAGATGTGAATTTAAATTGATACACCGAAAATGATACAATATGGAAGACAGGCTGTAACAGGATTCCACAGACTTCTTTTATTTTATTGTTTGTTTATGTATTTTCAATTGAAAACTTCAAATATGTTTTACAAGTTTCGACTTTAAGAATTTATATACAGATTAAAATGTTGGAGACTAACAAATATATACATACATATATATATATAGTGATATTAAATGCATAGTTGAAATTTTTCTATAAATCATTGCATTTGACGATTCGAATTCCTTGCTTGTTTTAGAATATTCAATGTTTCATGAAAAATATTTAATATACTGTTTCATAGTGGCAAAAAGCGCATCTCAATAATAAATGCGTTTAGAAATGAAGGTTCTACGTATCATGCGTATAACAATTACTTTTGTGCTTAAGATATTACTTAAAACATGAGTTAAAATTTAATCGACTTGTAAGATAATACATACCAGGTTGAAAGTTGATTTAAGTGCTTATACTTCTTATTAAAAATCCCACATTGTGAGGTTAATTATATTCACAATTATTTGAAAAAGCTATAATAGAAAAGTCTTAGTAGCACTACAAAACTATCCCCTGAGATCCTGAAAAATAACCAAAAACTAAAAAACAACAACAACAAAAGAAAGAAGAAGAAAAAAAAAGAAACCGCTTAAGCTAGAATGATTGGATTATAAAATGGGCATGTAGATTAATATGGGTGAAATGTTCGACTGAATGTTTATTTCGCATCTGGATGTAAATATGAAACTTTTTGATATAAAGAGTTATTTCGGAAGAATCAAAATGGACTTACTGTTTGGTAACGTGAGTAATATTGTTCTGAGATGAAACCATTGTTTGCAAAATATTATCACAAACGAAAATATGAAAATCCTTTGAAATCTTCTTAGAAACTTCAGCTAAACTAGATTTTTATACTTATAGGAATTGCAGCTTTGTCAAAGAGCTTAACTTGATATAAGCTAAATAAATGAAACAAAATGAAAATAATTAAAGTTTGATGTTTTTATAACCACTATTCTCTAACTTCAATTATCAATTATTTCTTAGACCTCATTTCGTCCAAAGATTCTACTGCAATTCATACTAAAGAGGAAAAGACATATAGAGATCGCTGTGGTACAATTGTATCGAAATCAAAGGGGGAGGAACGTTATACCACAATAAATAATATATGATAAACAGATGTTTGTAGATTTCACAAACACTTTTTTGATTTCATTGCAATTCATATTAGATTTACCATATCCACAGCCTGAACCTAGAACCACCATGCCACAAACCTAAACTGCCAGTGTTTCTAGAATTTCAATTTTCAAAATTCACCTGTCAGTTCTTTTTTTAGTTTATTGCGTCCTATAATGTTTAGACTTACTATGTCCTAAGCCTAAAACTTCAGTTGTTGTCAATGACCAATGTTTGGAAAGATAGCAATACAAGACAAATGTTTCTGCAATAAACCGAATAGTAAAAATATCAATGGACAGATACAGAATTAGTTTGAGTACAAATTTTCATACTTATATGCTGATGCAGAGATGTGTTGTTACAGAAATTAGTCGCGGTGTCACGGACAACATATTTAGCACTTTTATATATGGTTCACAGAAAAGTCTTGACCATTCGATGATGCAGTTCCCCCTTAATATACCTGTGGATGAAGTCATATGTGACGGCTCTTTTCAAGTAGAAATACGTAAACAGCAAGATTGTTCAACGATGTTAAAATTAAAGAACACAAACTTTCATGAAAGGGATGCATCAGTGATCTTGGAAACGGAAAAAGCTCACTTAGCAGAGTAATTAACATAGAAAAAGACTTCGATATAGATTCAACAGACGTTTATGAATTCGATCTGTTAAACCTAGTCTTAGAAGCTGATATCCGCATAAATGGGAGGGTCTGTAGAAAGTTTGACAAAATGTGTGATCTAAAATTGACCCCTCAGTCCTTCACAGATGCATGTTACAATGAAAATTATGATGTCCGGTAGCAGTAAGTAATCACGGTCATTAGACTAAGCACAGCAATGGAGGACTTAGTTTTAAGAGAAACACTGTTTGAGCTGAGACCCTTTACATAGGACCTAAAACATTATACTGTTAAAATACAATTAGCATTAGCACATCCTGAATAATATAGTTCTTAAACGGTAAAACTCAATAGTTTTCCCGAGTCAAGTCCGCGACTGGGAACGAACTCTGAATTATAGCGTTATACGCCACGAAGTTTACAGTTGAACCACATGGGGACATTATTGAAACTAATGACGCTTTGAACAATTTTAATTTCAACAAAAATAAACCGAATAAATATTGTAAAAAAAATCTTACACATCCTAACTTTTCTCTTTAACGAAGACGAAACACATCCGTGAAAATGTTCCTGAACACTTTCGAAACGTCGTCTTCTACACTTATGTTTCTACAACAGGCAGTTGCCGTCCATTCAACAAAGTTTCATCATGAATACTCTGCCTAAACAATCTACCAAAGAAACACATCTAATATATTACTTTTATCACAAACGAACTTTCAGAGCAGATAGTAACAAATATAATTTCTTTCAAGTAATCTTTACATCTTTTGTGTTAACTAATCGTCACAGTAAGTCAGATAGAAGGCAGTTTATTTTTATTAAGATAGTGTTCTCTCGTAGTAGTGAAGTGGACAAGAAACTACTCCTGGTAAGGTGTTAGTTTGTGCAAAATTATTCTAATTCCAATTTTATAAAATTATGGATATTTTTACTGAATGTTACAGCTCACTCTTAGGAATTTGTCGCAAGGCGTTCTAAAGCGCCCCCTTTAATTACGTTTAGTATAAGGATAGAATTAGATCAACTGTACGTAATTGTAATATACTTGTAGCTTATAGACCGAGTAAGCTTTTAAACTGAGTTTTATGCCATAATGCGGATAACGTTACGAGTAGAAACACCGGACACGCCAATAGGAAGCCGTACTCGACTTGTTCCTTGAACTAATTAGTAACTACCGTATTTTTCGGAATATAAAACGCACCCTTATTTTGAAGACAAAGTTTTGGGGAAAAAAAAGCTACAGTCGCATTTGAAAGATTTTTATTGAATAAAAATTCAATTTGATACTTTAAAAATTAGTATATATTGTTCTAAACACAAAAGAGCTCAAAACATCAAAATAAGAAAATACCCTAAATAAAAAAAAAGGTTTACTGTTATTCAGTTTGGTTCAAAACCTACAAAATCTTCATTGCTTTCACTGTATTTTTTTTTTTTAGTATTTAGGGAGCATTATAAATAGTTATGTTTTTAAAAGAAAAAAATATTATTGTTATAAATAACACATTCAATTGAACTAAACTATGCATGCCTATTTAAATATTTTTACACATAGCTTGTGTATATCATATATATTATTCATACCTTCGGTGTATAGAACGCAAGCAGATTTTGACATCAAATTTTGGGGTAAAAAAGTGCGTCTTATACACCGAAAAATACGGTATAATGTGAGAGAAAGTGGATAACTAAGCTTTATTTATGGCAAGGAAACATTTGTCGTAAGAAACCAAACTATTAAATTCATGTCTATGAAAAATGCAACGAAAAATACGTTTAAAAGGAAACATTATTTACAGTAGAAGATTATTCTAAAATATGTGTCGGATGGTTTATTATTACATACAGTTGAATATTATTACGTATGCTAGAACAGAGTACCGTAATATATATATATATATATATACTTGAACATTGTTATGCAAGATGTAACAGAGCAATGTTATATGTTCAGTTAAATATGTTATATGTCTATATTTTATTCTAGAACAAAGTTAGTTATAATATTTTGGAGTCCTTTTTAATTCCCCATACGCCACAGATTCTCTTTTCAATTTCACCTTTGGTGAAAAAGGAAAGAAATATTTAACACACACACACACACATATATATATGAAGCTAGTTACGTTTCATTATTGTTATATTAGGAAGAATAGTGTAACATTGCACATTGTTAGGTATCATTGTTACTGGTGGAACAAAGTAACGTTATATAAAGTTGAATACTAAAACTAAATGTAAAGTCTAATCTATCGGCTGGTTCACCACTTGTCACTGAGTTATATATCGGTTTTGGGGAATTTCGTCCTTCATAAGTAACCCCGAATAATGATAAATTGAAAAAATAAAGAAGACTAAGTTTTCACATAGTAATGGAGTGTATACTGGCTAAGTCTCG